TGTCTAGGAAACTTTAGCAAAATTTAAATGGTACATACTTAACATCACATGAATCTTGATAGATACTGTAATTTAACAAACTGGTTTTGCTGGAATTTAAAGAAAGAAAATACAGCTCCATTTGCAAATCCAATGATATTTTCAAGAGTGTGGCTGCACAGTAAGCTGAGACTAACCTAAGCCCAAGCTGCAGCTGGCCATGGTGATCCCATCCCTCTCCTGCTGCCATCTAACAGTCCAGCAACGTTGGCCATGGCCTTTCCAACGTGAGCCAGGGCACAGTGTGGTTGAAAGCTAAGTTGTATTTAGGCTGTAACAGACTGAGAGAGTTGGGGCTGTTCAGTCTGGAGAAGAGAAGGCTCTGAGGGGACCTTATTGTGGCATTACAGTATCTTAAAGGGCACCTACAGGAAAGCTAGGGAGGGACTTTTTAGGATGTTGGGTAGTGACAGGACTAGGGGGAATGGGGCAAAGCTGGAAGTGGGTAGATTCAGGCTGGATGTGAGGAAGAAGTTCTTCCCCATGAGAGTGGTGAGACCCTGGAATGGGTTGCCCAGGGACATGGTGGAAGCCCCATCCCTGGAAGCTTTTAAGGCCAGGCTCGATGGAGCTCTGGGCACCCTGATCTAGTGTGAGGTGTCCCTGCCTATGGCAGGGGGGGGGGGACTAGAGGATCTTTCTGGGCCCCTCGATGATTCTGTGTATTTGTGCTGGGTTAGCCTGTGGCAGATTGCTGTGGGGATGCCCCTGGCCAGGCTGTGCAGCTGCTGGGGAGGTGTGGTGAGAACACCAGTGCAGGTGTGAAACCCACAGCTGCAGCCTTTTGACCGTGCCACCCAAACTTCCCAAAAACCAGCAGCAGCACCTTCCGCAAGGACAGGAAAGTCCAGACATTGCATCCTCTCAGCAAAGAGTGTTTACGTGTAGCGTGTGAGTGCAGGCACCCAGGAGCACTGGGGTTCTGAGGTCAGGTAGCCACTGATGCTTTGTCCAGACTCCTCTGGACGAGTGCCCAGTGCCACCGTAGCGGGATGAGGCTCCCTGGCAGCCTGTGCTGATGTAAACCAGCGTGGGGCCCGGCCCACCCTCCTCCTCCTCCTCCTCCTCCTCCTGCTTTCCCAGCCGCGTGGTCCTGGCTCCTCTTTTGTGCTGGCTCTGGCACTCCTGCGCCTGGGCAGGCGGCCAGGTCTGGAGCTGGAAAATGATTAGTTTCCTGCCCATTCCTGCGGGCTGAACTCCTGCAGCACGGGGTCAGAGTGGGAGAGCCAGCCCCACGGGAGGAAGGCTGCCCTGGCAGGGGGGTGCTGACCCCCCACGTCGCCCCCAGGGCGTGGGTGGTGGGGGGCTGGGAGAGCTGGGGAGCTCTCACCCATCACCAGTGTGGAGCTTCACCCTTGGGGAAGCCTTGTGTGGCACAGTGAGGTTCCCCTTGGGGCAGGAGGATGTGGATCTACCCCTTCGTTTGGGCTGGGTCCATGTGTTCCCTTTTAAGGGCATTTTGAAAAGTGCCATTTCGTGTGTCTGACAGGACTGAGGTAACGTGTGAGTGCTGGCAGCAGTCCTGGGAGTGCTCTCCAGCCGTGTGGGAGAACTCATTGCTGCTAAATAGATTCATTTGTGTTTAGAGGTGAGCAGGGGGTGTAACCCCAGAAAACCCGACATCTCCATCCATGATGATCATTTAGAGTTGGGTTTGTGGCTTCCTGGCACAGCTTTAGAATGAGTATCAGTGACCCACTGAATCCATCAGCAGGCTGGGGCCAAGGAGATGTTTGCCTGGTTTCCATGTGGGGTATTTATAGAATAAGTGGATCTCAGGAGCTGCTGCTGAACACGCGGTTTAGTCATCACTCCCTCTAGAATGATGTTCCATGGCGTTGCTGGAGAAAGGTTGGCTGGCAATTGTGTTTTTGCATGCACTAAATTTAAATTGTGCATACAGGAGCTGTTTGCAGCAGAGAAAAGGACATTTGGGTATTTCAGAAGCTGTTCTGGTTTTCTACTCTCTGGCAGAGCAGAGCATTCTGGTATATCATGTACTTTCTAAACACCTTTCAGAAAATCAAAGTAGCATAAAAGTGGAGGGGGAGGAGTGACCTCTGAATTAAGGCCTTTAAATTAGAAATTACCTCCGTCCACAAACACTAATTTGCATAAATTCCAAGGCTGCCTTCCTGATTGATTTAAGCCCATCCCCAGTGGAGTGTGCTGGGAATTCAGGCTCCCTGGCAAGGACTGTGGAATTGCTCTGAGCTGTGCTCATGGCTCTGCTGGTGGCAAGGTGGGTTTTACCCTGGAGACCTCAGAAGCAGTCCTTGAGGTGGGCGACCACGATGCCCAGACTCAGGAGCAACACCCAAGGGCCCAGAGGGTGCTGGCAGGGCTTGGGCAGAGGTCTTCAAATCCACCTCACACCGCCAGAAAGGGATCAGCATCCCCACCCAGGTCATGGGAGGGCTCAGATGGTGATGACCAGAAGCCCTGGACATGCAGTGCAAATGGACTTTGTCTGTCTGTGGCAGCCACACGGCATCTAGTGCTGGGTGAGGGAATATCTCCTACTAGCAGCAGCAGACATCGAGGCGGTCATCATGTGGCACAGTGGCTGGTCCTCTCTTCTCCTGCACTTCATTCATTGCTTTTCACTTGGACCTAGTGAGGGTGGCTCTCCTCAGAAGTTCCCCCTTGCCCTTATCAGTTCAATCAGCAAAATCTCTCCTTTCTATTCCTGTGCTGAGGGCTGTGGCTGGCAGCTGAAATGGTCTTGTGACAGAGACCAACTGGGACTGCAAACCAGGGTTGTTTATGGCCTCATTCTGATCTGCAGTCTAGGTCAGCAAGGGAGCTCAGTGTAGTTTGTTGTGCCAGCACCTCTGAGTGCCACTGTCCTCCCAGGAAAGAATCCCTTTAACCCCTTGACCATCTGCTGTGCTCCAGGAGCTCCCCTGAATGCTCTCTCTAACCCCATGGGTATAGAGTCAATAGCATGCAGGATTAACTTTGCCTGCTCTGACTTGTCAAGGGGGAGTGAAGTCCTTAGACATCCTTGGGGCACAGCACTAAAATGGTTGAAGAGTTTTATGCCTGAATTCAATAACAAACATGAATAAAATTGATTTTTTTTTTTCTTGAAAGAGCAAATAAGAACCCTTAGAGCGAGATTTATTTCAGTGTTTTATGCTCTTGGGCATTTCCTGTAATTTTGACTTGTTTTGAATTAGGGGGAAAAAATGTACTACAATGTCCTAGTCCCCAATTTTCCATTTCAGAAAAGTACTAAATTGGTTGTTGCATTTTGAAAGCGCTGAAGTGGATTGCAAAAGGTTCCACATTTATTTTGTTTTTTAAATAAATTAAATCACTTTGATTGCTAATTATGTGTTGCAGAACTGCTGAGATAACTTTTAGTTCTGCAGCGTTGTTAAATTTAAAGATGAACTGTAACTTTCAAACACAAAAGAGACTTTCCTTTTCTCTGATGCATCTGAGAGGGTTTCAGACAAGCAGAGCACAGAGGTCTCCTCCTGCCCAGGGGAAGGTGGTGAGTCCTTACAACTCCTGCCTGATTCTCAGTAGCCTTGCTCACCTCTAGCCCTGCTAAATAAAGTTGCTATCCCAAATATGTACTGATTAGATTAAGGTCTTCATTCCATCATTTTTTCTATGGGGATGGATCCTGATATTTTGCTTCTACTTGGGCAGACCAAACTAATTTTCAGATAAGCAGTGCTACAGTCATGTGTGTTAAGCTGTGAAGCTGGCTGGGTATGTTGTTTGAAGAGGCTCTTCTGCCCACACCTTCCCAGTTGTACCTTTTGTACTTAACCTTATCCTGGGCTGCTGTGGCAGCTACAGAAGGGCTGAAGCTCCAGGGTTGAACCTCAGCATCTGGTAACTCTGAGATCCGTGCTCCTGGGGGAGGAAGGCTGGGAATTATCCTGAAGCTGGGTGGCTGAGCATCACTGGGGAAGTAGGGCAGGAAACATCAAAGCCTGCTGAGATCTTTTCATTACGTAAGCTCTGTTTATGACATCTAAACAAACACCACTAATGAAGTTTAAGCCTAATGAATTGCCCTTTAGAAAATGTAAAATATCTGGAACGTTTTGTCTGATTTTTGTATGTTATGGGAAGGTTCTGTCCCATCATTTCATTGCTGCTGTTTCTTGAATGAGTGGATTTAAAATACTGAAAAGCACCCTAAAAAGAGGTTGCTAGTAGCTCTACTGATAGCAAGGCATTCTTTTGGACTTCTTTATGACAGCCACATACTGTTGCAAGTGTACATACTTAGCATCATTTTTCTCTTCTCCTCCCTTTTTAATTATTTCCTTTGACAGAACAAGGCAGAACCAGATGTGTCTCCTCTGGCTGAGGGTCCCTTTGCCCAGATTTTTCTCTCTGCTTACTTACACGCTGTTCTTTTGTGCAGGTGAAGGAGGAATGCAGGCTCCTGAACGCCCCCCCAGTGCCACCACGGAGTTCCAAGCCCTCCTCCAGCAGCCCGTCCGTCCCTCCCCGCACGGTGAAGCCGGCCCGGCAGCAGACCCGCTCTCCCAGCCCCACGCTGTCCTACTACTCCTCAGGACTGCACAACATGTATGTCTGGGAGCTCTGAGAGCCCCACGCCACAGCTTTTTGGGAAAGTTAAACTTGGCAGTGTTCTTTTTGAAGGTGGTTGTTTCTAAAGGCGTGGCACTGTGGCAGAGTTGCTGGCTTTTTGTAAATTCGGCTAACCTGTCGAGATACTTTAGAGATTCCAGAGGAGGCAAAGCTGCAGCAGGAACTGTTTTCCTGCATAGCACATAGAAATTGATATTAAACACATGCTATAGGTAATCTCACTCTAAGGTGGCACTGGCTGTCTGAACAGAAAATCCTGTACAGTTCTCCTTGAAAGGCTTGAATCTTCACAACGTCTCAAAGGGAGTTTTCAGGTGGCATTTCAGCACTCCATGCACAGCCAGCTCTGGTAGGTGGGGGCACAAAAGGGGCATGGTCATCCAGAAATGCTGTACCAGCTCTATGGGAACCTACAGGTTGAAGGTGTAATGGAGAACAGAGAGCCCAGCAGACACCCACTGAGTGAAAACTGAGGTGTAGCAGAAGGGGACCAGGCAGCTTCCAGATCAAACCTGCTTCAGCACAAACCTAACTCACAAACTGGAAGATCCACTCAGGCCAGCTGGAAGTTGGCAGTGTATTTTGATTTTTGTGGCTGCATACCTTCTAGCAATGCAGTGTTCTCCCTTGGCTTTAGAAAGTGTATACACCTTTTGAAGCCTCACCTCTTTTTTGCCTTGAATGTCTTGTTGCTAGTATTTTGGGTATCTTTTCAATGACCAGATACAACCTGTCTGGATACTACAAGTTGATCTGAAACACCACAGAAGTCATTTCAGCCTAGATGCAATTCCTCTAATAACTTATGCTGGGATTGTCTTCCAAAGCCATACTGCACATTTTCAGCCTCGTGGTGTTGTGTATCTGGCAATGATCACTCTAGATCAAGGCTGCTCATTTGTTTTTATGAAAGCCTGTTGGGTAGTTCTGTCAAGGTCTACTCCACAGGAGGCTGAGCACAAGACCTCCCAGCTTTTGGGGCCCACCAAGTGCTGCTTTCTCTCTCTTTGTGGCTAAGAATACATTCTGCCTCCCAAGAAACCAGGAAGGCAGTGAGAAGTTTCTCAGGGATGCAGGTGGTATTATTTGCCTTGACCTTCACAATATTTACATGAAATTCATCTCCAGCTTGGGTCCAGACTAGATATCTCCATTTTGGTAGAATTTACCTAGTGCTACAGAGGAAACTGCTAGAAAATTGGCAATGTTTGGAGTAACCAGATTGCTGATGAGGTTGTTTTTCAAGTCATGCCATTTTTACCAGAGATCTTCTTTTCTAGACTGTGAAAGGTTGCAACAAATATTTTAAATACAAACAAAACCAATATCATTTGTCCTTATCTCCCTATAAAAATGCCTGCTGCCTGACTTCAGCTGTACTTGAGATTTCTCTTGCATCCTTTGGCACCGAGTCCCAGTGAGTTAATTTTGATGGAAGACAACTAAGGAAGCACTTTGAAAATGTTACTTTATCAGTTTCCAGTAATTGCCTTGATCTTTTACATCATTAAATGTTCCTATTTCTGATATTGAATTAGAGAACAGAAACAGGATCAATCAGTTTAATTCCCCTCTATGGATAGTACAAGGCCTCAGTGACTGTCTTCTCTGAATTGAGCAGCTCTGTGGCTTGCCTTGTGAAAAATGCTTTGCACTGTGTGTGTTACACCAGTTGGCCTTTAAGCAGCCAGAGATGACCAGCTGACTGTATCCTTGTTGAAGAGAGGAAAAGCATCTCTGGTATTGTAAACATCCAGCTGCTTTAACTGGCAGTGACATAAACAGGAAAAAAAATTTTGGAGGGCATAGAGAATCTGAGGGATGGTTAGACAGGGGGAAGCTGCATCTCTTGGAGCTCAGTTTTGTAACTGATTTTCCCCTGATATAGATCAGAGCTTCTTTTACACATCTGTGCTCTGTGTTTGAGCTGGGCAGGTGCAGGTTGGCTGCTTCTCTCACTCCCTGTAAGCACATGGAGGACTAATTTTGTCTTGAACCCTTTAAAACTCTGCTGGTTTTTTGGAAGCTGCTGCCTTCCTCAAGCAGTTTTCACTGTCACAGAATGACTACCAAGGTTCTTTTTTCAGTAGTTAGTTTCCAGGAGAGAGAGAGGTGAGTAAGGAAAACATTTTTTTTCAACTGTTGGTTTCCATCTGCTGTGTGTTAAGTAAGGGGTTTAGAAATCTGCCAATTATTTTGCCAGTGTTCTGGCTTAATTGGCTAGAATTCCAAAGATAACCCAAACCTTCAGAGGTGGCATAAAAGTGGCAAACATTTGCTTCTGATGACAGGTTGCTTGCTTTTGTTGGCAGCTCTGTCTCTCAGGAACACCTGGGTATAAGCCACCAGTTCCTTTGGACAGGCTGAGCTTGGTTTATTCCCTGGAAGTAGGTCAGGGTAACTTTAGGTGTCTGAAAAGCAAGTGTTTCTTGTTGTAGTTTTTAAGGATATGGACACAAACAAGTTACTGTGAGCTTAAAGCCTGATACTTCAACACATAGAGGTAGGTCTGCTACCCTTCCAGCTGACACTCTTCCTTTGACAACCAGGCACTCACTTACCCTTTGTTACTGTCCTGTCCACTGGTGCCATTTCTGCAGGAAAATACAGGATCAGAACTTCTTCTAGTACATGTGAGGCTGTTCCTCTTCCATTGAGGTGTCCCTCAGGATTTCAACTGTGGCAAAACTGAGTATTGGTAAGATGACACAGGGCTGAATTGAGACATCTACTTTTTACAAGCTTGAAAAGCCAAGTTGTGAGGCTTTTGGTGCATCAGCATCTTGTCAGGCTTGTAGGAGGAGTAAAAGAACTGTCAATGCATTATTCAAACGTGCTGTTAATTCAAATCTGAAAAGTGCTGCTGGAGGAGAGAAAATTCTTCCCTTGTGACAGCCACCCTCTGACTCTGTAAGATGATGTACAAATTTATTCCAATGAGACATTGTTTTGTACTAACCTTTCTGCTTTCTTCCTTAAGCAGTGTGGCAGAGAGCGACAGCACCAACCCAGCGGAGAGCACGCCCCTTTCCTGCTACCCCTGCCACCTGAGCAAAACCCAGTCCAAAGAGCCCGAGAGCACGATGCCTTTGGGAAGCCCCTCAGCTGAAGCTCTGCCTTCGAGGTTATCTTGGCCAAACCATTTTTCAGGAACTGCTGAAGGCCTGAATAGGAGTGATTTCCTGCTCGATCCAAGCAGGAGCTACAGTTACCCCAGACAGAAGACTCCAGGTACGCCAAAGAGAAACTGTCCAGCACCTTTGACTTTTGACTTTGATGGGTGTGAGCTCCCAGCAGGGCACTCCCCCCTGACTCCAGCAGAGTTCACCAACACCATCTCTAGCTGCCCAAAGTCAGCGAGTTACTCTCTAGACTGCACTGATGACAAGTCCCTGGGAGCTGGCGAGGCCAAGCAGAGCCACTCGTGTCCTGCCTTACCTCCTCGGGCACCAAAGTCGAGCGAAGAGAAGACGGTCCCAGACACGGGTCCCTTGCCACTGAAAATCGATGGTGCTGAGGAGGAGTCGAAATCCAGTTCTCCAGACCTCTTGGAAGATCAGTGTCTCCTGAAAAAGGGCATGCAGGATACATTCTCTGTGTCTTACCCCTTCTCCTCTCCCCTCCACCTCCAGCTAGCACCGAGGTCCTGCGGGGACGGCTCTCCCTGGCAGCCACCCACGGACCTCTCCGGACTCTCCATCGAGGAAGTGTCTAAATCCCTGAGGTTTATTGGGCTGTCAGAAGATGTCATATCTTTTTTTGTTACAGAGAAGATCGATGGCAATTTACTGGTTCAGCTTACAGAAGAAATCCTCTCAGAAGACTTTAAGCTAAGCAAATTGCAGGTTAAGAAAATACTACAGTTCATTAATGGCTGGCGGCCCAAAATGTGACGCTGGCTAGTTAGGAGTGAACTCGTACAAGATGTGCTGGGTGCACTTCAGCTAATACATCACTTCCTGTTTTTTGCACTAAAAGACCTTCCTGTAAATATTAGTAGAAAAATTCTTACTATGCAGATAAACATTTTGGAGTGGTGAAGAGATTTTGTTGAGTTTTTTTTTTGTATGTCAATAATAAAGGTAGAGAATCTGCAGAGGTGTGTCTTGGGCACCCCTGAACATTCAACAGCTGCTAAAAACAGGACACTAAGGGAACTTTGACTCCTGTTAAGACTTAGTCGTATTTATTACTGAACAATTTGATGCTGAAAGACACACCCACCAATCCAGTTTACAGTTTTGTGTTAACTGCAAAAAAAGAAAAAGTGTTTCTTCTGGAATTATTTCTGTTCAGATAATATTTGGCAACATGCTGTGACTTTCTTCTGTCTCTGTTAACAAAAAGCGTGTTCAGAGATACAAAAACATCATTTTGACACTACATCTGAAAATGTTGAGAATTGCTGTGAAGTGCCACTAACACACTCTTCTTGCAGGATATTTTTATTAACAGTCTCTTCCTGACTACCTGTGATGTGGATACGTTTTCCATGTTACTTTGGGCAAAAAGAGTTAAATGTTTTTTAAAACCAGAGTCTTGCTGAGCTTGTTGCCCAGAGGGGAGGGGGAAGAAGGGGGATTTTCCTACTGAGCTGCTCTGCTCTGGCCAATTAAAAGTTTATGACCTGTAGATATCAAAAGTTGCTTTTGTAGTCGGATGGCTGGAGTGAGGAGCACGACTTCTGGCCCTGCAGCTTTCTCATGGGAAAGGCACTGCACAGACTCTTCCCTCTGCAGATCCTGCCCACCACAGCAGCCTGCTGGGACAGCCCTTCCTGGGGCAAAAGGCAGCTCCTTATCCTTCCTCTGCTGCTGCTACCATCATCTGAAACCTGTTCCTGTGGTCGGATCTGTGTGGGAAGGTGACAGTGCTCCTGTAGGATGCCTTTGAAATAAAGCATTAGTGAGGTGGGAGGGAACAGGAACAGCACATGGCACACTGGTAAGAAGGGGCCATGCCATGGGAGGGAAATGCTTGTGATGGTTGAAGTTCACCTGTCTTGTTTGCAGTGGGCTGGGAGGATGTGCTGTTGAACTGGGAGGAACTGCAGCACCCTAAGATGTCCTGATTCGGTCGCCCAGCTGCAAAAACTCACTGCTGTAGATGTCAGACAGAAGCAGCAGTCCCAAGGGAGCACAGAGATGAGAAGGGGGCATTAGTCTGCCCCTGGAGAGTTGTCAAATTGAACTGCTCAGAAGACTGGAAATAGGATTTACTTTTCATAGTCTTGTAGTCAGCAGAGCTCTCTGAAATGTGTCTGAATAAGCTCAGGATCTCCTGCCTTGGTAGTACTGAATGCAGGGATTTGTGGAGGTCCTCGGGAGACAGTCCATGGTGTCCTTCCCCAGCAAGGGTGCATGCCCAGCAGCCTCAGGTGGCCAGAGCCAGGGATGCTGGAGCAGCTTCACCTTCACCTGCTGCTGAGCAGAGCCCTGGCCAGGGTGACACCATCACCTGCCTTTCTTAAAGACTCTTCCTTTTCTCCATTTTAGGGCACATAGTGGGAGCATCAGGAGAAAATACAGAGCAGGGACAAAAATGGGAGGCTGATTTTGCTTGTTTTCCCAACCATATTGGCTCATTAAAAAGAATTTATTTGCAAATGGGGTTTTCTGTTGCCTGAGCAAATTTCATGTCCTGTCTTTGTGCTGAAGCCAAGATGCACCATTGGTCTTGCCATAAGGCAAACCACCAGTTTCCAGTCAGAGCAAAGCCCAGCTGATGCAGGTACTATAGAAAGCAGTGAGCCAAAAAGTATCCCAGTAGAAAACCCCTCCAGGAGTTCATAATCCTCCTCTTTTTCTTAATGGATTGACTTTCAGCAGCAGATCAATAGCTTTCTCTGGATGCTTTTTAATTAGTGTCCTAAAATCCTTCAGCTGCAAGTAAGACTAAATCAAATTGCAAATCAAATCCAAGTGCTGTTCAGATGCCTGTGCTTGTTGGTACCACCTTCAAGTTGAACTCACTCAATCATGTTTTAACCCCTTGCTCTGTCAAATAAGCATCCAAATTTGAAAGAGCCCAATTTTAAATCTCAGGTAGCTCACTTTGATTTGTTTGGCTTATGAATTCCAGGTAAAAAAAAAAAAAGGTAAAATCTATCTCTCAAAAAAAGAGGAGGTGGCAATCTTGGCAATGAAATGTGCTGGGATTTCAGGAGCAGAGCCTGTGTGCTCAAACATAGCTAAAACCTCTAACTGCAGACTTGTTACTGATGTCCTTCCAGTTGTCTTCCTCTGGCTTGGCACTGCTTGCTGGTTTTTACATGGGATATGTTTGCCTTTGACCTTTTCTTTTGCCCTTAGCCACTCATCACCTTAAGTTTCCAAGCCTTTTTTTCCAGTGTCCTTAACCTTTGTGTTGTGTGAATTCGATGACTGTGGCCTTGAGCTACCTGCTGTGGTGTCCAGGTGGGACTGGGCTGTCTGCTTTTGTGAAACAGGGAGAGTGGGGAGCAAACTGGGCAGCTGAGTGTGGTGGTTTGTCCGTTCCACAGCCAAGCTCTGATGCCCATGGCATCTAATTTGTTTGCCTTCCTCTTTGGCTTCGGTGCTGTGGTGTTAGAGGGGTCAGGACCATCCTTGG